TCTTAAACTACGCCCCGGTAAAGCAAGAATCGACGGACGAAAGTTCTTCTTTACCAACAGAGTAGTTGTCCTCTCCACTTGTGTTAATTCATTCAAGAGTAGACTGGACATGCATCAAGCACAAATGCAAATCATGTGAAAACTACTGCATCACATTACAATGAACTACACTGTTTATCACATACACTGCATCAAATTTTGCTACTCGTGATTTGCGAGTAGTCATATTTTGTCTGTCATATTATGTTAAGATCTGGTGTCTTCCCGGAACATGTAATCGACGTAAATTTTAAATTTTTCTTTGTTTCCATTTATTCCCTAACATCTTGTTACAAACAGGGAGTTCAAAGGCGTTCGCCTATCTTTCCCTCAATAAACTGATACTGTTACCTTTTCAGTGTATGCCTACTTGCCGCTGTCCATATCCCCGGTTGTTTTCGCTGGTATGGGATGGCCTCATCGACTTGTTATTCTGCGTTAAATATGCTTGTCTGATTCAAACACACCCATCCTACAGGCTCTTTACTGACTTACTGATCCCTGTTTTCCCCCCCCCTCCGCTCTTCCCCTCGAAGCGTTTTGACTGAACCATGAATGCTCACCACAAATCACAAATAGACAAGCTCAGAAGATGAATTGGCGAACATACGTTTGTTTTCGATAAATTCTCATTAGGCCTTTCGGCTTATAGGGTAATTAGGTAAAATAAATATGCGGGTTGGTAGAAAAAAGAAATTATTAGACAGCGTCTGTTGGCTACGGCAGAAGCGGCCGACATCAGGCTACGCCGACCGGTCCTATGTGCCCAAAGTAAAACTTTGTCGCGGCGGCGCTAATTCAACAGCCAGCAGCTTATCACCTCGGCCGACCGCTAGTCCCCCCTGACGTTGCTCAGATTTTGTCCTCCATCCCTCCCCCCCCTTCCACCCTACCCTGTCAACCTTACTGCATCTTTTCTACCAACTCGCATAGTTTATTTAATTAACCACCACATAAATGTAAAGGCCTGAGAGAATTTATCGAAAACAAACGAATGTTCGCCAATTCATCTTCTGAAATTTCAAATGGGAATTTTCGCAAATTTAAGACACGAAAAATAGACAAGTACCAGTCTAGTTAATTATGTCCATTCGGATGGTACACACTTGTTCGAGCTCATTACCAGGGTACTCGGCATCTTTTTACAACAAAGGTACATATCCCACCTCTTCTTTTACTTTGTTGTCCGTGTTTTTTGAGATCCGCATTACATCGCATCCTTTGAAGGAAACAAGTCATATTTAATAGTGCATCTTCGTCATGATGGGTAATTAGTCAGACACGATACTATTTGACACCATATTGAAAACAATTGTTTGTTAACTGAAGGGTACAATTTGGTGGCGACTTAACTGACTAGCAGTGGCACCGCAAAGGCACCCAATATATTCTCGTTGGAAGCTTCAAACGCCAAGATACTTGGAAGCACTTTCACAACAGCTTCGAATATCCTCCTGGGTCGTTTAGAGACCCGCATGGCATCGCACCCATTAAGCACTCACACCCTGAGTCACCACGTTACTCAAATTCTTTCTTTTATTTACTGGTATGATTTTTTCCCAGCATCGACACAACTTAGTTAAACAGTGCAGTTTCGCCTTCATTACGTTTCAAAAGCATGCTCGCTTCCATCGTCAGAGCGTGGTGTCTGTACTCCTGTTCGCGTCAGATAAATGTGTCCGACCGCTAGCCGTGCCTAATGCCCATGTGTCAATCGATTGCACCGATCGATTTTTGTGGCTGTTT